CTTACAAACTTTGTCCGTTTTCTGTTGAAGTGGTTGATGTGGAGTTTTCCTGTATACCATTAATTGTATTATAGGTTGCCTGGGCACTTTGATATCCAGAATACGTACTCTGTAATCTTTTTTTAAGATTTATAAAATACAGAATGACATTTCTAAAAAGAGATTATTTTGCTAGCCATTAAGTTAAATCAGTCAGGAGCCATAGTCTTTTCCAGATAATGGAAGTAATCTGACAGCCAATCTACTGCAGAAGTAGTGACTCTAGAAAAAATCCATCAATTACAATCTGTTTCCCTCTGCTTCTGCTCTCTATTAAGTATTTCTTCAACCCAAGTAATTAATGTTTTGCTGCATCCACATTGCCTAGAATATTTGTTGACTAGTGGCTATTTGCTCAGCTTCAGGTATTATATAATAGGCTTTCATAAGCACTAGGCTGTTTTTGAAGTTGTCCTCCAGCAGTTTGATAGGAAAAGTTAACTGGCTGGGAGCTAATTTTTGTTTAACTTTGTAATGATTGCAAAATAATATAAATGCAGTATTTTCAAAGCAGTCTCTGTAACTGTAATGTTATAGTAGTGAGAAATCACTTCTACATGGCCGAAGCGCCACATGTATAGAATCAAATTTGTAAATGATGCCTAAATGATAACACTGCATTCCTCTTGAAGCCATAGTCATTGGAGTGAGAGCGTTCCAATATGATTTGCTTGACCAAGTAGTTAAGATTCCCAAGAAGTCTAAAGCACTACCTGTTATGATTATTACGTTGTTTGAACTGGATGCTAGAATTTTTTGTGATTTTAATCATGGTAGCAGATTTCTGTTTGAGCATTTTCGCATCCAGTCGGAGTGTGTAGGAGATTGGTAAAGAGTGTTGTAAAGGGCTTGCCTCTGGTTGTTAATTAGCTAATTAGAGGCCAGGCTAAACATATGAATTATGTACATTCATGTCTTAATGGCCATATTAAATCTGCCTTATTCACTGGATCACTTTTAGTTTGGATCATTATTTAAAAGATGCAAGGTTTTTTTCCTCAGCTTTTTGTCCGTATTTTTTCTATAAACTTTCCATAGCTCTCCTTTTTTTAAAAAATTTCTACAGAGTCTAAATGGTGTCTGGCTGAACTGTGAACGCATTGACCCTTCAAGGGCCTATATTTTACAAGAGGGGGACTTTATCCAATTAGGAGTGCCTTTAAAACACAGAGAAACTGCTGAGTATGAATATACACTAATAAAGGAAGAATGGAAGATAATTAGTCCATTTTTAGCATTGAAAAATGACCAGCTGACAGAGAAAATAAAGGACCTCAGGGCTAAACGGAAAATTAGCTTGGAGGAATCAGAGACATCTGGAGCAGAAGGGCCTTCCCATTCTAGATCCAAGAGAGATCGAGTATCTCCTGATAATGACTCTTTGGGGAAATCTCAGGAAGGCAATACAGAACTGTCTAAACAACCAACAGAAAACATGGATATAGTATTATTTCCATCAAAACCAAGCAAGAAAGAGAAGAAAAAAAACCACTGTAACTCTGTTCAACCTGATCAAGTATTTCTCATCTCTGAAGAACAAAAAAATCCAAGTCTGGCACAGTCTTGGAACAGTTTGGAACAAATAATAAAAACTCTGGAAGACATGACAAAGCTCAAAGCCAAGGTGCAGGAGAAGCAGACAGCAGTTTTGACTGTAAGACAAAAGCCCAAATGTGCTCCAAAAGAGATCCAGGTACTGGAGCAGGAGTTACAAGAACTGCAGGAACAGTTATGTACTGAGCAGCAGCAGCAGCAGCAGCAAGTAGAGCAATTAGAGAAAACTTTCTCTGAGGAACTAGAGGTAGGTATAACAATGATAAAACAACTTTTGTTTGTCTTTTAAAATAGCCAAGCTTTTTAAATGAACCTAAACTAAAGGTGGCCACTGCGCTGTACGTGTATGCCTGGAAGTTTACAGTGCACATGTGTATGTATGCGGCACACTGTAAACTTCTGGGTGTATGTATGCCGCGCACCGTGGTTGGACTTATGATCAAAATGGACTTACGAACAACCTCTTGGAACATAACCTGTTTGTAAGTAGAGGACTGTCTGTAATCTCATTTGATGAAAAATACCTCAGTATTCATGGAACATATATTCTGACTACTGGCTCTAGTTCTCTATAGTAGTTGTAACTGTTATTCTTTGGGGAAGATATTTTGTAGCATATGTTAACTTGCATGTTTTCAATGAACAACAACACTTTTTAAAAACACTTTTGGAAAAGTTAGCATATATTGTTATAGAAAAACTCAATAGCATCTACTAAGTTCAAGTGTTTTCAGCTGAAGAGATTTTTTTTTCTTCCAGCATGATAAAAACCATTGATGTTTCACTGCCTTGTCTGTTTCTTTAAATTTGTTCTTTGATGGATGGAAGAGAGAGACAGCCCTAGAAGAGAAAAAAAGAGCATTCTGAGTATTCAGCAATAGATGCATCCATGTTAAAAGTATAATGTTTAGCAGGATATGCCTTTGCCTGGCAAAAATAAAGATTTTTTTCAGGATTTATTTTTATTTTAAAGTTCCAGTTTTCACAAGCAGTAGTTGTCCTCTGTTGCATTTTCTAAGTCTGTAAAGGAAAACCTTCTTAGCACATGATAACCAGAATATTGACATTCTTGATTTTTTATTTCCTTTCTGGTCATGACTCCTGTTATTATGTAGAGAGCAAGTGAAGAACACGGAGAAGAAAGACTGAAGGACCAACTAGCTCAGGTCCTAGTACAGGTAACAAGATAGTTTTATGTTTTTATCACTTAAAAGAGAGAGCTTTGTTGTTAGGTTCATAGAAGTCTCTTCATTTCCCCCTGGAATTGGTTTTGTTCTGCTCTGTTTTGTGTTCTGTCATTCCCCTCTGATTTCACTCAGGATTTTACTTTCTTTGTGGCCAGTTCCATCTTTTTCCTGAGCCAATCTAACTGGCTTTGGCATTTCTGTGCTATTTGTATCCTTTTTATATCAGTATTTTATATAAATAAGGAAGGCAAAAAAAAAGTTTTTTTTCCACCACATTGTTATAGGCTTTACCTTGTTGTTCAAAAATAGAGCACAGTTAAAAACGTTTGTTTTGCCACAAATTCAGTTGTTAAGATCACTTATAATTTCTCTAGGCGAGAGCTGCAGTTTGTTTAACTGCTCCGTAGTTATAGCTGGAACTGCTTCATCCTCCTGATGTCTAGGCAAATTTTCTTGCCCTACTAAAAAAGCTAGTTCTTGATATCTATTATTCTGTGTCAGTAGTTTTAAGGGATTCTATGTACTTAGCAAACCTGGCTGTCAACAAGT